TTAGCTATCCTAGAGTGGACATGCTATTTTAACTCTCAGTGTCAGTCAAATATCCGGGTCAAAGGACTCTTGAGTTGAAAGTATGGAAAATCCAAAGTACTACAGCACAGCATCTTGTTTTCAGCACAGTGTGTCTTGAGTAGGAAAATCTGCTTTTGAAGTTACTGGTGATTTTTGACAACCTTTCCCATGAAGTTGAGCCTCCTGGCCACACAGAACCCAAGGCGTTACCGTTTTTCTTCAAAGCAGCAACTGCCAGGCACAGCAGATAAAACACATTTCTAGGTCACGGATTTTTAAGTCAGTGTCCTAGTATCAATGTGAGCTAAATATGATCCACTATTTAGAGAGGAACATGTAGAAAGCTTAAAATGATCAGTCTAAGGTTCACAAAAAGACTAATATAGATTCAGAAACAGAATTTAACTGGTAGTTTTCAAGCTAATGTCTTAACCATACTATGCAGCAACTGAATTTGCTATCAGATATAAGTCTGCCTTTGGAAGTATTAGAAGGCTGATGTCGGCTGATGAAGCCATATTGCTCTGAACTGCAAAAGATGGTTCCTCACTGAAAGAGATCAACTTTACATGTTATGAAATTACCATGAGCAAGGATAAGTAACTAATAAAATGGGAAAGGTCAAAAGAAACTGGCATAACTACTCATGGAGTAGCTCTTCCTTGGAGATGTCTGTTTCTAAAAATGATGGCTTGTGATCAGTTATGATCCTTTAAGAACTAGCCGATCTCCAGTGAAGGAAATCCAAGCTATTCCCAGCAATGAGGGCAGACCAGCAGCATTCCTGCCAAAAGGGGTTAATTTGTTATGCTGCCTTTTTTCAAGACCTCATGATCCCATGCCTTTGAAACAGCTAGTGTTCGCTATTGAAATATTGCAGAACCAACGTATTGGGGCCCGTTTAGGCATCTGCATACAGACGCTACCATTGAAAAGCATTTTCCTGAATCATTTAAAAGACGTTTTAATAGCATTAGCAAGAACAACAAAAGAGAACCACTGCATGGGCACTACACTATGATCCAACCCAACAGGCCACTGGAGAGTGAGCATGGCCAAGGGAGACCAGGCTGTGTTCTAGATAAAGCCTTTTGCTCCCCTGTTGGCAAGTTACTGTTTATTTTCCTTATGCAGAACTATTGGATCATCAACATACTCAAAAGAGTATGTCGACATTTCACTGTTCTAGGAATATAGCTATGCAACTCAACCAACACATAAAAGCATGCATCAAGATCAGCTAAGACGATGCAAAATGTGTATCAGAAAAATGTGGTTTAAGATAAAAAGTCAGGTCTAGAAGTGAATGAACTGATAGGAGCTACTTCTCAATAAACTAAAAATAACATGTAAGCCTAAGCATTTAGGTGACGTAGAAAAGGCACATAAAAGATAGCACAGTTAATCAGATGTACAGCACAATTTCTGCACAAGAAAATACTAAATAGACTGGGAACCCCCAGGCTTGAAACAGAGAAACCTATAAAACCATGTGTAGTATGAAAGAGATGAAGAGGGAATGATTATTCACTACTTGAGACTCACACAAGGAAGTCATCAGGTTTAAAATACAAGCCAAAGGAAATACTTTTCCCAAACAAGGCATAGTTAAATTGTGTAACTTATTGAGTGTTGTGGATGCCAAGTATTTAAATGGGTTCAAGAGGGATTACACAAATGCATGTAGAATACTTCTATTGGTGGCTATTAAAAAAGCAATAAAAGTTTTGATGCAAGCAGATGCTTCAGAAGTCCCTCAGCTGATGACTGCCAGAAACTGGGTGGATGACACAGGATGACACTTCCCTCAGTTGTGCGTCCCTTCCCTACAGTGCCATGAAGGCAGGACACTGGAGCACGTGGTCTTCTGGGTTTGTCCAGGGTGGCAGCTCTTGCGGAGGAGCTGTGGAGACAAGAAGTCTGACAGGCTCCTCTGTAAAGAGGAACCTCCAGGGTTAACTATGGTTTCTCTCAGCCTCCACTGGGCTCATTCTCATGACTTTGCTGACTTGTGGGGCAGAGAACAGGAAGAGGGGAGAGAGAAAGAGAGGAGGAACAGAGAAGGTCAAGAGAACTATGGCACCATTCACACTGCATCTAGAAACTACACCAACATTTCCTTCACCTTCTAAAAATTTTCCTCTAGAAAGCTTCTGAGAGTTTTCTTGACAGCACAGACAGTTTACAATGTCTGAAAGGGTTTTTTTTATGGCATGCTGTGAACAAAACTTAAATACCACTGCCAAGAATTAGAATGATTTACATCATTCTCTCCAGGGTGGGGCATACTCTATTTAGTTTGAGGCTCCCAATATCCCCCATGCTGCTGAGCTGCATTTATCGCTATAAATTAAGAGGTTTCCATTTCAAATCTCCTCAGTTCTTGAAGCAGGGCAGGCTTTGGTGGTGGGGAAATGGGAGTACCTATTTAAGTCCTGAGGGAATCAACTGCTTCCAGCACAACCGCAGTTCCTGGCTCCTGTGGCATCCCTACAGGTCTGAGTGCAGCCATTTGTCTCCAAAGCAATAGCCAGACCGAGAGTGCTCGACACTGTACCTTCTCTGTGTCAGCGCTCCAAGTCTTGAGACCTGTTTTCGAATGCACTTCCACAGATGTGGAGCCACACAAATGGACTTTTTGTACACCCCGTGTCTCAGAGGTAAGTGCAGCAATACTGAGCTGGTGATCAGGACAGCCAGACACTCAACCTGTCACTGGCAATTTAATGCATTACAAATCAAGGCACACTCACAGCTCATAACATGATTCAGCCAGTTTGCCATCTCTTACCAGGACTACCCAAATCCAGATGTTCAGGAAAATTCTGCCCAGACTCCACCAAAGTCCCAGGACATTCCTGAAGGAGAGCCATATTTCTTATTATTCTTCCAGAGCTCGATCACCATGCAACGCTTTCTGACAGCAAAAGCAAGCCTACCGGGGCCCAGAACAGCTAAAGCCAGTGCACAATGTTTTATTTTCTGGGTAGACTAGGGTAAAATTACCCCAAGGACAACAACAAAAATTAGTGTATCCCATAGCATTTCCCAGTGCCACCCAAAAACTTCCTTCTATATAGAAGGGGGCATATTCTAAAGGAACATAGTATTTCCTCATGATTAAAGGCAAAATCTATAAGATGAAAAATTTAACTTATATCTCCTAAGAAGCTGCTTTAACTACTGCAGGGAAAGTTTTCATTCTGCAGCAGCTAAAGGGAAGAGGCCCATAAGAAACACTCCCACAAAATAAGGGTCTCTTACTGGCAGATAAGAGCTGACATTTCAGTTCAGGAAACAATTTTAGAAGCTCCTCTAACAGTAACTTTGTTTTGAAAGCATCAAAAATTGGTGGAAACAGATCAGGTTTTGGGTACTTTCCCCTTCCCCAAGGATTAAGCGAAGAAGTCAGCATCTGGCACAGCACCATGTAGTTGCTTACAGAACTGAACACAGCCTGTAGATGTAATCTGAAGCTTTGCATTCTCAGTGCTGTTCTGTTTTTAATCTAAGATGTTGCACTTTTGGGTTAAGATAAAGCTTTAATACTGGAGGTCTACGACCCATTTTCTCAACCAGAAGTGAGGGAGTAGCTCCAGGCCAAGTAAGGACACCCTACAAGCCCTGCAGAAAATAACACAGGCTTTATTATCCAGAACTAGAGGAAGTTGTGCCTAATTTAATTCAATGCTCTGTTTGCTGTCTTACAACAGAGATGCTTTTCAAAAGGAAATAAGTGATTTTTGCTTAAAGTGCAGCAAAACCGCGGGCTTCTGTATATATTTTTGCCTGCTACCACCAGACACCCTAAGTCAAGCCCAGCTCAGGCAGCCTGTGGTGGCCTCTAGTGGCTGTTTTTCCCACATCCCACCCTCATCACACGCTGTGGCTCTCAAGCCTCCAACTGCTCCACCTCCCATCAGTATCTGCTGTGTCATTCTGAAAGTGGCAGCAGTGCACGACGATTTTGAGAGGTGCAGCAGGGGAAAGATAACGCAGGACTCGTTACACTCATCCTATATGCCTGTGCTCACTTGGCAGGTACACCTATTGGCAAGGTGCTTCTGGGTGTTACAAGTTTTCCTCTGATTTTCTAACGCAATTTATTTTTAAACTACAGTTTATCAGCAAAGCCAAGAATCAGATGCATCCTCGTGGAAAATTGATCTTAATATTTTCTTTTGATTAATTTCACAAGTGACAAGTTACGAATGCAGGTTTTAAGAATGCTTAAGCAGTTCAGCAGTTCTTCAAAAGCAACAATCTGATGTATCCTGGGGTGAACTGAACACAGAGATCCTGGGACCTATAGTCAACCCCTCCACCATGTACCAAATGAAACCGGCAGGAGGGTCACACTCACAGCAAAGGTTTCCTAAACCCAGTCTCACTTTCCCTAACTTGAGCAAGTCCTCAGGTCCCTAGCGTCTTGCCTAGATCAGTGTATCAATATAGGGGTTTAATTTCAGACTGGATGAAATTTTACTCTTCCATATCAGTGAAGCTTAAGTCTACAAAGGTTGTTTAGCTGAAGAGCTTGGAGATGCTTCAAGTTGAACAGTAAGCTCCCAGGCCACATCATACATTGATTGCCCAGTGCAGTTTCTAGTATTCTCTGTGGTTACCCTCTCAAGTTTGAAAGTGCTATTCAAAGGGTACAAAACATTGCTGTAATGGTTGTGCAAACAAGCCCACTTTCCTAAGTGGGAGGACCAATGCAGTTTCTCAACTTGACAGGAGGTGAGAAACTCAGCTTTGAATTCCTGGTGATTTTGTGCAAGCTCAAGCTCCAGCCTGAGTTCCAAACCATTCAGCCAAAGATGTCCTGGCTCTGTGTTCACTGGTTCAAGTGCATAACCCCAAACAGAACATTGTATTTGTTTTTGACCAGTATCTCTGCCACTGATGCTGCTGGACTGTAAGCAAAGCCAGATGCAATTTACATGCCTCCATTCTTGTAACAGACTATTCAAGCACAGTTTTAATTTGATACTCTTTATTACAATATCCAGGAAAACAATAACAAGGTGATTGTTTATTACAGCTTCCACAGACTGGACTCCAGACCTTACTGTCCTGGGTACACACATACACATGCGCGCGCTCACACACACGCACACACAAGAGACAACCCTTGCCACAAAGAACTTACAATCTAAACAAACAAAACACAAATAATGATTAATCAAGAAACAAAGAGGAGGAATCACCTGCATGAGAACACAAGAGAGTTTTGGCTTGGCTTCTAGTCTGGAGTTCAAGAGTTGAAATTCTGACCCAGTTACAGTATTCTCACCACCATGAGTGAATTTTCATCTCTTCATTACAATGCAAGATACATTCTTCAACATTTACAACCAACATAAGGAGAAAAAAGCTCCAGCTCTAGACCATAAGTTGTCAAGTGGGATACAGCAAAACTACAGACTAGAGATTCAGAGATCTTAAGTAACAGTAAACTGCAATAAGGACAAAACCAAAACCATCCAGGAACACCCATTACTGCTAAACCAGTCAAAACTTACTAACATTTTTTTTCATTTCAGTATATCAAATTGCCAAATATTCTTGTGCATGGAATGAAGAAGTAACAACTGTGTTGTGCTGCATGACAATGCCTGACCCTTAATGTTAACCACAAAAAACAAGGACAAAAAATGAATACTGAAAAGCTGTCAAATCACAAAACTACACTTTTGCTGCTCTGATTCTGCAAAGTTTCAAACAAAGAGAAGAAAAGAAGTTGGCATTTTTGGCACTCACATCATAGATCTGCCATGCCTGAACTGGATGAAAATGAACTGTTTGCAGAAACCTAAAATAAAAGTGACAGGACACACACAGAGGGATCAAGAGCAAGCACACTGGATTCAAACATAAGTTGTATTTTCCTTTTTAAACCTCAAATAAGAGTTGTCGCCTTTTGTCTTGTCCAACATCAAAAGAACTTCTCTAAAAGGCAGAAAGCAGCCTACTGCAGCTGCAGCCCAGCACTCCTCACCCAGGGTTCACAGAAGGGGAACTGACAGCTGTAGATGCCAACAGCAGTTGTTTCACCCACAAAGGCACTTGCTAGCTGGATGTGAACTACATCCAAATGCTACAATATAATACAAGCTGTATCATAATGTAATCATCCTAAAGAGTTTCAGTTCCCAATAAATGTGTTCTGATGACACCCAACATACTGATGTACTTACTTTTTGCACGGCTGACTCAGAAACACTCCAGCACTGCTTTTATTTTAGTTATGAAAAGCACGCCAAATTCTATGTGTACAGAACTGGGCCTAGTGAATCCTAAACCGACTAGTTCAGGGAGCAGTGAAAGGAAGGGATACCCACCACACATCCATCACATCAACCTACCATATAAAAAAAAACAACCCAAAACAAGAAGCATGGGCTAACCCAGTGCTCTAAAGATAACAACACGAGAAATCAAAATTCGATGAACAGATGATAACTGACATCAGTCCTTTGAAGAGTCTTTTTCTTTTTAAGGGATCTCCTCCACTTTCCCAAAACCTTAATTTTGTAGGACATTCTTATACCCTGCACAAGAGGTAACCCAAGTATTTGTGTAACAAGATTTACTACAGCCTCCAAGCATTAAACCACAGGCCCCTGGAACATAGTATCCCTGTATGTAGGCTCTCACCAGTGTGTAAACACTACAAATATCACGACTGTCTCTTCCGGGTGTTCAAGCCCCTTCAATACTGACATTTTCCACACAGAACAATTAGGACTGCAATAATCAACACAGTATAGGGAGCCTACTGAAGCTGCCTGTCTCCATCTTCTACAATACAGGCCCAAAGGGCTGGGTCACAAGTGGAACTAAACCCAAGTATGACCTAAGAATCAGCTGGTGAACTTCTGGAAAACAGAAACCAAATAACCATCCCCTCCATATACCTAGACAGGCGGACAGTGCAATTCTTGCAGAATTCTGTAGAACTGCAGAAGCTCTCTGGAAGACCTACTCCAATACATAAAAGTTTCATGTGGAGGAGAGGGGGGAAAAAAGGAAAAAAAAAAAAAATAAAAAATCACTCTCCCAAAAAGCAAAAAAGCCGTAGTTTCCCAGCTGGTAAGAAAAGTTATCTTGTTTTTTTTTAATCCCAGAGAAACTAGATTTTCAGAGTTGCTATTTCTACACCACCGGTATCATCTTGCACTTCTTGGAAACCCCAAAAAGGTATCTCAATTCAGTAAAGCACATTGAGTTTCCCCTTTCCACACCGTATCTGACAAAAAATCCACTAACTCTTACACAGTTTGGCCTCTAGGAGCTACCAGAGAGACCAGTTTCCTTCCGGTATAGATGACTGGAAGCCCTTTGATGAGATCTCCCAACCCATACTGTAATCTAGAGTAATTTTCAACCAAACATGCAGTCGAAAGGGGTAGCAGCTGTAGAGCTTCATCCACCTTTTCCCTGCATCTTTTCTTCTTGCTTACACATAAATACTTGTATACCTCCAGGATTAGTATTGGCCAACTAATCCAGTGGAAAAACAACTAAGCAAACAAGCTAGTTTTCAGCCACACTAGCTCCCTGATCTAGCTCACCATGCAAACAGAGAGGCTTGTGCTAGACAAAGCAAGGGACAGAAGCCCAACTCTGGCAGCAACCTACATCCAACTTAGCACAAGCATGAAAACTATTCCTTCCCTTTAATATCCAGTTTTGCCTTCAACAAAATCACCTCAGGTGCAGCGAGTCAGAAATCTGCAAAGAGCAAGGCTGCAGATATGTATTAACCCCTTCTACAGAAGCCCACTTATAGAAAAGCACCACAGTGCTTATCACAATTCTGGGTTGCATAACTCCAAAAACACAACTAAAATTTTCAAAGAAACAAGTAGTCACAAAAACCATAAAATGCTTATCAATAACTACTGATTTTCTAATTGCATTACCCCAACATACTTAATTTACCTTCAGCATATTCTAATATCAGCAAAAATAGCCTATGCATTTTCTCTGCATGGTAAATCCATTAATCATTCCTAAATTTGGGCATGGGATCACCTGAAAAGCAGTATTTCCTAAGAGCCACATTCATGAATAATTCACACAGGAGAAATCAATTTTTGCAAGTAGTCAAGAGAAGTGTCCAGATAAAAACAAAACCTCTGAAAATTAGTTTCAGCTGTTCTGTGTTCCTTGTTTGTCCTTTGAAGTTACACATAATTACTCAGCAAAAGTAAAATACTAGATTCTGACACATAAACCAAGCGGGCTTTGGGGAGCGGAAACAATGTCTTGAAATAATCTGTTGTAAGTCTTGAAAGGTTCTGACAAGACGGGGCAGGGAATAGGGAGTTTAAGTAAAAAAAAAACCAAACAAAACAACCTCTCCACAGTCTGTATCAATTACTCAATTCAAATTCATCTACACAGACAAAGCCTTTTCTTTGTGAGACCTAGTAACTGACCAGGATAAATTACTACAGCCTAAGCAAAAATGGTTTCATTAGGCATGGAAATGACTGAAGAGCTCATTATTACATTCCTATTTCCAATTTGCCTGATTCCATAATTAAGAAAACATGATTAGACAACTAATCTTCTTCCAGCTTACTGAGTCCCAGATTACAGACAAAGAGCCAAAACGCAGTACCATCTGAAAATCAATTTTAAGCAATTCAAAAGAAGTTACGCAGGCAAACAACAATCTTAGGCCAAAAGAAGTCATACCAACCAGAAACAGAAGCCTCAAAATCTTCTGAATTCACAGGTGCTTCCACCCCAAGGTAGAAAATTAAAAATTGCTTTTGCCGCATCCAAAAAGATAAATACGTATTTTTAGTAATGACACAAGGAGACGGAAGATATTGGTTTCTGACACCCTAACCAACTTCTAGAACAACTGAAATTACTCTATATTACTGGGAAAAAAGCAACAACTCCTATAAGGCAAGGATGAAGATGGAGCCATTGTGGAAACAGAAGTGCTTTTTCAAGAAGTCCAAAGGCCAAAATCAGACAAAAAGTAATATCAACAGGCAATATATGACTTTGAAGTTTTTGGAAATGAACCTAAATTTCACGTTTCAAGATTACTGGGCCAAAGAATGAGGTTTACAAGAAACAGTTTGCCTCAGGGAAAAAACTACTACAACCCTCGGACTCCAGTAAGTCTTAAAGTTCTCAAGAAGTACCTTAAATGCTCCTTTCAGAATCTGTTCCTCCACCCTTTATGATTTTGACAGCCCCAGTAGAACTATGTATCACAAGCAAACTGACTTAGAGTCAAAGTACCAGACTAGAAACTTTAAAAAGTTGCCCCTTTTGGCTTAAGGTACAACTTGAGAGCAAGGCACATGCAATAATGAGATCTGTGAAGGTCTGTATAGAAATGTGAGATGTGAAGCATGGTTTTATGTAGTGAATATTTAATGTATGCAATTCCCTCAAAAATTCTGAGTTCAGATTTTCCAGTTTCATGGTCAGATCAGACTGATTCACAGTTTCATCAACTGAGTTTTATTTCCTCAGCTAAAGACACAGTATAGCTACTTCCACAGAAGCCAACTGGGCATACTGCGGTGCATGCCGCCCCAGAGTTCTCAAGCTAAGCAAGACCAAATCCACTTCAGGAGCTGTGAAGCAAATACATGGGAACTGTGACTGAAATTACCCAAAACAATGAATAAATTATACTGCAATAACTCTCAATAGCACTATACAATTGAAGAATGGATAGTTATTTGCAGAGAAGATTTTGTACTAGAAATGTTTATTCCGTATAGTAAAGCAACCGAACTGTAGAAGATACAGAAGGCATATTTATAATTTTGTTGGGTATAAACTCAACTATAGTAACAGTTTTTTAATTAAAACTATTTATCAGCTTGATTGCTCATAATTACTCTTCTCAATCAATAAGCAATAATAACTTGGGTTAACTTGAAAGACTGATTTAGCAACTTCTTCTTAAGGCTGAATTAAACCTCCAACTCATTCTCAAGTGAAACTGGTTGAATTATACCCGTTACAGAAGGGTACACAAGAAACATTAACTGCTTATTAAACTGGAAAATTAACTAACAAAGCTTCACATTGATTACAATTACAAAAGACAGATAATGGAAAAGTCTTAAATTAAGGTTTTTCCAGTTGTAGCAAAGGGCACAATAAATCAGTTTTAAAAAGTTGTAGCTTTTAAATACTTTTTCATAAAAATATATATAGGAGAAACCAAACCATTTCCTAACAGAAGTGAAGTAAAGCAAAGCAGTCAGAATACAGGAATGTTTCTTGTAACTCGATCCATTTATCTAACAAATTCCCTCTTCACAAAGCATTAAGATGCCTCCTAGAACAAACACAAACACCACACTGGAAGAACCTCCACCCTCTAAAATGAGACAGACAAGTCTTCAAAAAAGGTCTAATGCACACTAATTGTCCAAGATACGTACACTTTAAAGCACAGACAGCAGTTAACGGTGCTATTCAAACCAACTTTTCCTATGACCATACACGCTCCCTTCTAACGTTCAAGTGCTAAAGCTGTATCTCAAAAAGGTTTTTTGCTCCTTGCACGAGATTTCCAATCAACAAACAATAAGACTCTGCAACATTTCCAATTTAGTTCAGTTTTGTTTTAATGACATGGGGCAATTCTTAGAGCAGGCATTGTGTAGCTAATAATGACAAAATAAAGAGGTTTATTGGTGTGGTCTTGGAATCCCAATTTGAACTGTAAATTTGACTCCAGGTAATTAACTGAAAAGCTAGAGCATCTGAAAATGCATACTAAGTTTTTACCTCAATCTTGCAATACTTCTTGAGGAATTTGGAAAAAGTGAAGCTGGTAGAACAGTATATATCACCAAGATTACAAAAACTGGAAGGAAATAATACATTGCAACAGTGATCCTCACTAAGTGAAATTATTTCATCACAATAAATGTTTAAAAAAGCATCAATGTTATTTAAAAAGTGTTGTATTCCCCTCCCACCCAAGTATTTGAAGATAAACCTTTTTCATTAGTCAAAATGGCTTTTAAAAAAAGTTTCTCAAAACAACAGCAATAATCAAAAAACATGAATTGTATTTTCTTTAATCCATAACATCTCTAGTGCTGAAGGGCCATCCATGTAAAAAGCAGATTCTTTGGGGACATTAGTCAATTAACTTAATAAAACCCAGTTTTATGAGGATTTATCCTTCCTGCTACGAGGCGAGTCTGCTCCATTTGAAGTCACTGTTCCATTTATTCCATTTTCTAGAAAAAAAGAATAAAAATTTTTTTAAATACAATGAGAAAACTTCATATTTTATTACTTTTTTTTTTTAGGTCCTATACAAATAGGACTAACTTATTTTAACTTTTTCTTCTTTGTTAAAAAAAAACCCTCTCATCATTGTTAAAAATCTCATCATTATAATTCATAATTTAACACTATAGTGAAATTTTTACAAAATGCAAAATTTAAAGTTTACTATGATAAAGTCTGGTTTCCTGACATGGCCACACACTTAAGTATGTGCATTATATATATCTACACTGAAAATAAAGACCAGCTATCATATTTTAGAAGATACTATCTTAAAATGTAAACCACTCAATCTGTACATGAAACTGTCCTTCGAAATTCTGGAGACACAGTGTACATAATAAAATTCCCTGGTATAGGTCTTTATTGTTTATCCGACCCATTTAATATTTTAATTCTTCCTGAAACTGCACCCTTTCACTCACCTTTACAATATATATGAAACTTTTTTATGTATATATATGCACACACACATTCTTAGAAGTATATAGTGTAACATACAGAATTCATTTGTAGTATGATGAAGATATTTACACAGAAAAGATAGACAGAAGTAAAACACTAGTTAGATTTGAGATGAGTATGTGT